GTCTGAAACCTAAAGGCTAATATATCCAACATGTTGGCACAATTAAAACAATTTGAGTTAGTTAATTGTATGAGTTAGAGAACCACTGAAAACAAGCAGGAAGTATTGCGCAGCTGTTTCATAGGAAGTGAAGTGGTAGAGCACGTTGACCACTTCACTTACTTGGGAAGTACCATCAGCCCCAACGGGTTGATCTCTGACGCAATCTCAGCACGAATACAGAGGGCTAGGTTCGCATATGCCAGTTTACGCCGTCCGTGGCGTAGACGTGATATCCGACTATCGATCAAAGGGCGTGTGTACTGCTCAACAGTCCGCTCCGTCCTCCTTTATAGCTGTGAGACCTGGCCATTGAGAGCAGGAGACATGAAAAGATTAGCTGTCTTCGATCATAGGTGTCTGCGTTCTATCTCCCGTGTGAAGTGGTGTAATAAGGTGACCAACATTGAGGTTAGGCGTCGAGTGCTAGGTAAGGAGGGGAAATCAATCGACGAGGCTGTGAAATTATATCGACTGAGATGGTTAGGACATGTGTTACGTATGCCTAGTCATCGCCTTCCTCGACGGGCAATGTTATCTGATATAGGGCCAGGCTGGAAAAGAGTTAGCGGCGGTCAAACCAAAACATGACTTCATCAGTCAATGAAATCCACAACAGTTAGTCTAAACCACGTAGGAAGATGTAGACTTCCTGGTTGGGGTCCTCGGGACGGTAAAAACCAATGGTTGGAAACAATTGGTGACATGGCTCAAAATCGTTCTCAGTGGGGCAAATGCATCCACTCCTTGTGACGTATGATTTCCAATTAAATTGTTTTGTTCTTCGTTATTACTATTCCTTTGTCTCACACCTCTGTTTACTTTCTGTAATATGCATTTCTTCTACTTTCTTCTCTTGCTTTGTGTGCTACATGGAGGGAGTGTGGCGACTTGAACTACCGCACATATGTGCAAAGTTCTATGTCGAAAACCGACCGACCGACCGCAGCTGTTTCATCCTAGTTTGGGAATCATCAGCTGGGTTTCGACGCTAAGACATTCCGATTACAAGGTAAGCTCGTAGACCATTCTAGGGACGAATCAGATGTGCATTACTACCTGCTTGTTTTCCAATAACTCTCTAACTATTGTCAACCTGTGACCAATCTTCAAAACAGATGCGGGAATCATTTAAAACTAAGGAGTACTGAGAAGGTGTTCATCATAGCATGCGTGACTCTTTAGCACTGTGAACAGAAAGAATACGAGCTTAAAACGTCCGTCATTTAGTCAGTAGAATGGAGTTCAGTGATCCAGGGTCAATACGTCATATCAAGCTTGGTGTTGATCCTCATCAATACAATTTGGTCGGTAATTGTGACATACATATCACGAATTAAAACAATTAGTCCCTTTGATAAATTTGAATAAGGCATTTGTCTGTCTGTCTATCTGTTTTCTACATAAAACTTTGCACATATGTGCAGCAGTTCAAGTCGCCATACTTCATGTAGCACACAAACCAAGAGAAGAAATTAGGAGAAATGCAAAATAGAGACAGTAAACAGAGGTGTGAGACAAAGGAATAGTAAAAACGAAGAACAAAACAGTTTCATTGGAAATCATGAGTCACATGGAGTGGATGCATCTGCGCCACTGAGAACGATTTTGAGCCATGTCACCAATTGTTTCCAGCCATCGGTTTTTACCATCCCGAGGACCCCAACCAGGAAGTCTACCTCTTCCTACGTGGTTTAGACTAACTGTTGTGGATTTCATTGACTGATGGCATGTTTTGGTTTCACCGCCGCTGTCTCTTTTCCAGCCTGACACTATATCAGCTAACATTGCCCATTGTCGAGGAAGGCGATGGCTAGGCATACGCAACACATGTCCTAACCATCTCAGTCGATGTAATTTCACAGTCTCGTCAACTGATTTCCCCTCCTTACCGCAATGTTGCTCACCTTATCATACCACTTCACATGGGAGATAGAACGCAGACACCTATGATCGAACACAGATAATCTTTTCATGTCTTCCGCTCTCAATGGCCAGGTCTCACAGCCATAAAGGAGGACGGAGCGGACTGCTGACCAGTACACCCGCCTTTGGTCGATAGTCGGATATCACGTCTACGCCAGAGACAGCGTGAACTGGCATATGTGAAACTAGCCCTCTGTATCCGTACTGAGATTTCGTCAGAGATCAACCCGTTGGCACTAGCTGATGGCACTTCCCTAGTAAGTGAAGTGGTCAACGTGCTCTACCACTTCACTTCCTATTTCTAATCTAGGAGCCGGTGTAGTCCAATCCTGTAAAATCATCTTACATTTGGCGAGAGCGAATCGCATACCAAACATTCGTAGATTGCAGCTCAGGGTGTTCAGAAGACTCTGCATTTTGACAGCGTCCTTGCCTAGAAGGACTACATCGCCTGCATATTCTAAGTCAATGAGATTATTCCCTGGTAGCAAGTCAATCTTTGAGTCGCTGAAGTGAGTTAGGGTTAAGTCCATTAGTACGTTTATGATGAAGTTGAATAGAAATAGGGATAATGGGCATCTTTGATGGACGCCACTAGTCGTCACCAATTCAGGTGACAACTTGCCGTAAGTTTTCAACTGGCTGGCTACATGAGTTCGAGTAGAGTGCCTTGATCAGTGCAATGTATTTTCTCAGCATTCCCATTACATCCAAGCATCGCCAGAGAACCTCCCGGTCGACAGAATCGAAATATAATGATTGTCGGACGCCGGTAGGAATGCCTATGTTCTAGAATCTGTCGAAGGGTGAAGATATGATCAATACACCCTCTTCCTGGCCTAAAACCTGCCTGGTTTTCTCGTGTTTGTGCCTCCCGAGCACCACTTAGTCTACGCAATATTATTGAGCCTAGGACTTTGGATACTATATTAGTCAAGCTAATGCCTCTGTGATTATCACTGTGTGAATATTATCTGTGAATAAGGCATTTAGAAAACTTTATCACTTGTCACAGTAAAGAAAGACCACTTCTCGAAAAGACAGCTTCTCTGTACCAAAAAAGCGATCCATCTTCATTAACCTACTATTCAAGGGTGACCAGATTATGCAGCTGACAGCTAGTTCAGACTTCGGTCAGCCATCAAACGCACATTCTACGCCGCATCTCTTTTTCTCACGTGCCAAACATTTTCGATCTCTGTACCAACGATTATAGAACGAAATTCTGTAGACTCTACCTCAAACTGTATCTACAAAGTCACCTGCAGCTGCGGTGACACCTATACAGGTAGAACCAACAGAATGTTCCAATGTCGTCGAAAAGAACATGTTCCAAAATGGCTACTAAATCATTTAGAAAATCCCAATGTAATTATTAATCTGAATAGAAATCCAGCATCATCCATTGCAAAACACTTATTAATGTCAGGTCACAAAATCAATCAATATTAATGACTGTTTCACAATTATTTCACATAACTCTAATTCAATGTTGGTTATCGAAGGTGATGGAAGCCCTTTGGATTAATCACATACAGCCTAAACAGTGTGTACAAACAAAACAATAGACTTCAATCTTCGCCTACCATGGACTACATGACCTATTTAAATATGATTGGTTATTAGTATGTACTTTTGTTTTTTACATAGCTGAGTAATTGTCATGAACTTTATTTCATTACTGTTAACCATGTTAGCTGTAAAGCGGTTGTAAAGAAACTACGAAATGACGATATCATCTCGCGAAATTTGTCTTCTAAGCACTGTGTGATTTATCAACCTGGCTAGTAAAAGGAGATCAAAAACGGGTATATAGTTCAGTGACAGAACATCTGGTCAACTCAGGACATTCAGCGCCTTTCGAAAAATCCTTCAAAGTAATATACAAGATCCAATCAAACCTATCAAAGGGAGTCAAATCAAGACATCTGGGCATAGCTGAGGCGCTAGCTATCCAGAAGCTCAAACCCACGCTTTGTATCCAAAAGAACTATTTCCAACCCCTGTCCCTGCCATGGCCATCATAAACACGTAAAATGTTTTTTAGTAATGACAATCTCATCGCCCTTCTTTTCTAAACTTCCGGTTTATTCATGTTATTTTAAGTTTTTCTGAATCCCTGTTTACAACACCATATTTTCATATCCGAACTTCCTGTTTATTTTGTCATTTTACTGTTTCTACATATTTAATCCCTGATTGCATAAACAATTATTCATCACACTAGTTTTTTATCCAAACATCCTGTATATTTTGTTATTTCTACATTTCTAACCCTCAGTTGCACAATTTCAATCTTCTCAGTTATTATAATGCTACTTTGTTTGAGTTTTATCCGTCCTCCTGTTTATTATGGCATTCTAATTCCTAATTGTAATTTTTATTAATGTGACCCTTAACTGGAAATTATTCTGGAACTTTCCCATCCATTTGATATAAATACATGAATGTACAGCCTAGATGATGACTTCGTCGAAAAGAAAATTTTCTTCGCTGCAATTGTCTTTTTAATAACTCCTATGACCCAATGTGTATATTCCGTGATTTATCAACATAAAATCTTATCCATAATGGAGGTATATTCTACCACCACAGTGCCCAAGTTTTATACTACTATATATCAATAACCTTGAGGAACTTAACAACCAATCACAGCACACTTAGCGTGGGCGGATACGATTAGCAGATATATCAACGGACTGTCTAAGAAACGGCAACAAACAGATGATAGAATAACCTTCAGCAGTAAAACAACCAATAAAAAGACGTTGCTTCTCCGCTAACAAAAACGCTAATAATAATGTACATAAAAATCTGAATAAACGATCTATTGTCTGGCCGTTGTCTTCTGTTGTTACACTAGTACTCCTGTACCTCAAGTTGGGTTCATAGGTGCACACTGATGAAGACTTCTACACCAGAGCAAAACAGCGATATTTCATAACATATATATAACTTAAAATACACACACACACAAATCAAGATAAAACTTCATTCAAAAAAATCACACATTGGCAAGTGGCCACTTAACTTACCTCTCCATGTTTTAATCTGATGTTTTTCCAACTCAGTCATTGGTTGATCTGGCGATCGATAATACTGGTGTAGGATACGTATAAAGTCGGTAATTGTTAACATGCCAATATGTTTTTGTTCAGTTGAATCCCATAAGATAGCAACACGTACGCCATTATAAACTAGAGCAAAGAATGCTTTTTTCACCTGTAAGAAAAACAAACAAACAAACGCACATATATATGTGTGGTGAGTGCTACTGAAAAGATTTATCAGTAGTATATGTACAGAAAGAGATGCTCATCGGCAGAAAAAACATCAAATAGCAGGGAGATAGATAGATTTGATGTCAGCAAACGGAAATGATACAGCGTCGTGGAGATACATGGAAGATGTGTAAAGAACACAAAGAAACACACACGCAATATGAATGAAGGCCAGAAGCAGCAGGTACAACACGAAAGATCCGTGCAAATTGGTGTGTTGAAGATAAGGTATACATAATTTGGCTATATAGAGATACTAATTTCCTTTACGAAGGTGAGCAATACTGAGGTTAGGCGTCGAGTGCTAGGTAAGGAGGGGAAATCAATCGACGAGGCTGTGAAATTACATCGACTGAGATGGTTATGAGATGTGTTACGTATGCCTAGTCATTGCCTTCCTCCACGGGCAATGTTAGCTGATATAGGGTCAGGCTGGAAGAGAGGTAGCGGCGGTCAAACCAAAACATGGCTTCATCAGTCAATGAAATCTACAACAATTAGTCTAGGTCACGTAGGAAGATGTAGACTTTCTGACTGGCTGGTTGGGGTCCTCGGGACGGTAAAAACCGATGAAGGCTGGAAACAATTGAGCACATGGCTCAAAATCGTTCTCAATGGCTGGTGCAGATGCATCCACTCCTTGTGACTTATGATTTCCAGTGAAACTGTTTTGTTCTTCGTTATTACTATTCCTTTGTCTCACACCTCTGTTTACTGCCTCTATTGTGCATTTCTCCTACTTTCTTCTCTTGCTTTGTGTGCTACAAAGAGGGAGTGTGGCGGCTTGAACTACCACACACATGTGCAAATTTCTATGTCGAAAACAGACAGAAAACTAGACAGTATAAGAAAAGCAAGACAGGCCTTCATTACTTTGAAATCTGCGTGTAGAAATCTACTGTACCCAATGTTAGTAACAAAAGATGAAGGATTTCAACAGTCATTCTCCAATTCAGTGCTTCCATAAAATGGTCTCCAAAGCCTCAGGATGGTCGGGGGTGGGTGCCTTGCGCTGCGGCTTGGCCACCCCTTCGCACACCTCTTGAAATGCTCCCATATGACCGGGCGTATCAAATAGCCTCTCCTGAGGAAGTCCTACTCACTGCCTTCACGTGGCGGAGGTGTTTTTCACCAAAGTGAGAGGGCGAGAGCGGATGCTCGGCGCTCCTCACCGGGTTGACTGTCCATTGGATGACAGTCTAGGAGAGATGGCTAAACCCTGATTCCAAACCTCCAACGACTGGCGTATGAAGCTAACTGGAGCTCACCGGCTGCCAATGGATAGTGAACTCCCTACTCCACTCCTACTGCCTTGTAGGTCACACTTGGTTGTGTAAAGGCTAGAGCTGCACTCTCGAACAAAAGGCCGAGCGATTCTGGAGACATCACTCGTACCAAATTCCCATGAAACTTCATGAACTCTCTTACAAACTGGTCCAACAACGTCGCCTTCGGTGGTTTGGCCATGTTCTGCGCCGACCAGATGACGATCTGGTCAAATCAGTTCGAAATCCCTCGCCATTACCATCTTGGCGATGTCGCAGGGGTGGGCAGCTGAAAACATGGCTTGGTACAGTCAAGGCTGATATGGAGTGCCTGGGGCTACAAACCGTCTACGGACTCCCTCTGTGGAACAAGAATTGGATAACCCTGTCGCAAAACCTTGCATCAGATCGCCGCGCCTGGGCAGCGGTGATTCGAGATGTTCATGAAGCCGGCTCATCCTCCCGTAGGAGATAGCCGAAGTAAAGTAAGTAAGTATAAAATTGTTTAGGCAGTCAGACTAGCGAAGCAGCATAAAAACCTAGTAAACTCTAGATTAGGTGACCCCAATAAGCTAAGAAATCTAGAGAATGGTTCACCTAGCGCAAGCACTACATGCAATGACACAACCATACAATAGGATGGATGGGATAAGATGACAGTTTTAAACTTTAATGCCACAGGGTGAATGGAGGAAGAGATTGATAACAATGGAAGCTTTGTTTATCGAAGCAACTGAAGAGAACACATGTAATAGGAATGATTCAACACCTGTCCACCCTGACATCTGGAAAATTCTACTACCCCAATGATGACAAATACGAGAGAACAAAGAAAACTATAAAACTCAAGTTTCGAAGTTGTGTGTTTACAATTGTTGATATGATTATGAACAATAAGTGAATTGTGTTTGAAACCTGGTCATCCGGTAAATAATACTGTTTCTTCAATGTGTGTGATATATCTAATAAACAAACTAATATGGAATTACATACTACCACCACAGTGCCCAAGTTTTACACCTATATTAATATAGTTTAGGCACTCAGCGCTGCGTGTCAGTGAAAGCTTTGCCAAGACGTTACTCGACTGCAGACTTTCATCAACATCTCTGCTTTCTTTGGTTGGATATTGTCTGTCTGTCTGGATTCAACGTAGAACTTGGCACCCAAGTGCAGCAGTTCGAGTTGCCACGTTCCAAACAGCACATAAAGGTAGACAAGAAAATGAGTGAAGAGAATCAATAGAGTTTTGACAAGTATAAGAGTGAAACAGAATGAGTAATGGTAGAAAATAAAATATGAAAGATTACAGAGACTGAATACATCCGCGCCAGTGACAACGATTTTGAGCCATGTCACCTATTGTCTCCAGCCATTGATTCTTAGAGTCCCGAGGGCGGGCCCCAACCCGGAAGTCTGCATCTCCCTCCCTACCTGACTCAGTTTAACTGTCAAGGATTTCATGGATTGATTGATGGCATGTTTTTGTTTGGCCACCACTTACTCTTTTCCAACCTGCACCTATATCAGCTAGTAATGCCCGTCCGTCGGGGGAGGCGATAGTTAGGCATGCGCAGCACATGACCTAGCCATCTCAATCTATGTAACTTTATAGCTTCGTCGATTGATTTTCCCTCTTTGCCCAACACTCTACACCTGACGTCAACATTACTTACCTTATTATACCACCTAACGCGAGAAAGAAATCGTAGACATCTATGATCAAAAACAGTAAACCTTTTCATGTCTTCAACTCTTATTGACCATATTTCATAGCCATAGAGAAGGACGGAGCGAACTGCTGAGCAGTACACACGTCCCTTGGTTGATAGCCGGATGTCACACCCACGCCAGAGATGGTGTAAGTTATCGAAAGCAGCCCGAGCTTTTTGGATCAGTGCTGAGATTTCGTCGCCAATCAGTCTGTTGGTGTTGATACAACTTCCCAAATAGACGAAGTGGTCTACATAATATTGGATGGATATTGAAAAGCATTTGGCTAGGTAGAAAGGGATAAACGACAAGGAACGCAAGGCAATGCAACGAACCCAACCGAAGATCTTCCACCCGACAAATATTCCGAGGAGATGGATTAGACACACACTCACACACCCACACGCTGAGATGACCACATTAAGTGACATCAAACACCAGCCAATCGCTCGAGTGGAACACGAATCAGAAAAGGACAAGCTGGGCGTAGATCTGAGGACGACAGCCAGAAGATGACGACCTTTTTGTGTAATCGTGGAACCAGATAAACAAAAAAGGAACTACAGAGAACAGAAATGAAATACAGATGTACTATTGAAGCCCTATGTTCCACTCGGAACCCGAAGGAAAAGCAACAGCAATAATAATAATAGTAATAATAATAATAATAATAAGCACTTACATTTAAGGTGACATCAAAAACCACCAGTTTAGCACTCAATGGGATTAAATCATAACAGGTATGGTTTTTTAAAAATATTCTGTAAGCTTTATCTGGATCAGCTACAAGATCGGGGAGGGGGGAGGAGATTAAGGAAATTTGAGTAAAACCATCAGGAATTCAATTGACTTACATAATTCTTCAACATGTAGAAATGAGGATGGACTTTCAGTACCCTAAAGAAACAAAAAGACAAACAAACAACCAGAAAATAAATCAGTATTAGTTTGTAGGAATTTGATTGATTAAATTTTAGATTTTACCATCGATTGATTGGACCGAAGTGCTTAGTCTCAGGTTGACATATCGGCTTCTTGTGCAGATGCTTCGATGATGTCTGAGCATGTAATTAGAAGTTAATTGGTGAATGAATGGTGACTAGCAGTGGAATCCAGGATGCGCATTTCGATAGCAGACGAGTTCCAAATAGGATGAAATGCGCATCCTAGTGGATTCCACTGCTAGTTATCATCCACCAGTTAACTTCTAATTACATGCCCAGGCATTGTCGAAACATCTGCACAAGAAGCCGATAGACATGTCAACCTGAGACCGAGCACTTCGGTCCAATCAATCGACGGGAAAATCTAAAAAATTCAATTAAATAATTAATATGACCCGTTGCACAAGAGGTGGCTGGCTCTCGTGGCCCAAGTGGTCTAGTGGATAACACTTTGGCGTTTGGAACTGTGGGCAATGGGTTCGAGCCTCGGTGGTGGAAACATCATCACTCAATGGGGAATGCAGGTACATCCAGATGACGAGTCCCTGCATTCCACTGCCAGTCACCATCCACCAATTAATTTGATTGATTGATTACAGGATTTCATCATGAGCTGACATCGGTTAAAGAACCGTTGGGAAACCATAGAGGAATAGTGGACAGATGTTTCGTCCTAGTGCTTACGACTCTTTAGGATTCTAGTAGGAAGTCGTGACCAGCAGAGTACAGCAGGTCGGGTGTGGGGATGAATATCCGCCACTAATGACATCGGTCGCGCTATGTCGTGAATTGGCAGAAGTTAAAATTCATGGGACATTGGATCGAGCTCGCCACCTTGTAACCAGAAGATCCTGGGTTCAAACGCCAATGAGGTGGGGTGCGTGCTGATGAGCAGTCTCAAACTAGGACGAACCGGCTGTCTGGCAGTACTCCCTGCAGGTTTTCCAATGGTTCTCTAACCAATGTCAGCCCGTGATGAAATCCTGTAACCAACCTTATATTTATTTGTCAAGTGAACTTAACTCAAATGAATTTTCAAACTATAGAGTTAATTTGTAAAAAATAATATTTGTAAAATCTCAGCGAGATTGAAATGAGTAATTCCAATGTTTCCTGTGTTCGGCAATCTGGTCCGAACTTCTTCAGGGAAATTAATCGAAATTAACATAACAGAGGTTTATATATAAAAGGAACATCACTTGTTTTTAAAAACTTTGTCCAATCATGAGTCATTCAACAAGTATAATAAACAAAATTGTACGAGCCGTGATCAAAAATTGACCTCGGACTTACAAATATTGGTCTGCCTTTGTTAAACACTTTAAACAGAGTGTGTATGTATGTGTGTGTGGGTAAACAGTTGTAAAACATTTTTTAACGTCTCCATAAGAAGATATGGACAGTCGAGAATTTTGACCAAGTATTAATAATTAGTGATACATATCCATTTTTTATTTATTAATCAGGATTTCCTATGCATCAGCTAACATCACGCCTTCATGTCTGTTCAAACTGTTAGTATCTAGAATTTTATGATTAGAGGTATTTTCAAAATTATGGTGTTTAGGATTAGAGTTTAGTTGAAGTACCCTGTCGGACTTATTGCTTTGTCGTCTTTTTGAAGATTGAGCTGCGTTTTCGGCCATACGCATTCCGAAAACATGGACATCAACAGTCGTCATTCCATATAGAGCAGAGGCGTCAGACGATATCAGAAGAGTGCTCAATCAGCTCGACATTAGAGTTTTCTTCAAAACATCAGTCACAGTGTGAAGCAACCTTGTCCATATAAAAGACCAAACCCCTTTAAGATTCTCTATCTAATCGTGTTTATAAAATAAAATGCTTGCTTGGAATGTGATGCGATATACATCGGAAAAACATCTCGAGAAATGAAAATCAGAAGAGATGAACACCGTAGAGCATCTCTTCGACCACCGAGAAATCCTGTTGAACTAGAAAAACTTGAAAAATCATCAGCCATAGGTCTACACGCTATAGAATCAGGCCACAAAATTGATTTTGACAATGTTGAAATAATCCAGAAAAAGTATTTCAGAAATCACAAAGAACGTCTAATGTCAGAAGCACTTCATATCAAGTGGAATCAAAATTGCCTGAATAGGAATGACGGACTAAAACAGAATCTGACCTGGTTACAACACCTCCCTCCCCCCATCAAGTGATAAAACCAACACGAATGTGATAAGCACTTTCATTATGTAAACACACGCTGCTTTTATAATCTTATACACTTATCAAATCCAACAATCTACACATGATGGTTTTGTTATCTTTACCAATTCACCAACTTGACAACTGAAATATGCCCCCAGACAGACGAACGATGATCAAGTTAGTAAACTTTATTTTGATATCATAACAGATGTACTATTACCTTTGTTATTTGGTTTAGTTATCTTCATCGCTATTTTTACTTTCAATATGTCCCTTTAACTTGACCAAAGTCTATTTTCTCACCCCCTACCTGTTTGTTATATATATGCTGATATTTTGTAAATTCCGGTTTAATAATACTTTGATAAAGCTATTAGCATTAAATAGCGAAACGTCAGTAAAAACAATATCGTTTTGTTTTTCATTCATTGGGAAATACAAAAATTATATATGTCCAATTTTCTATAGTTTAGTTTGTAAGGATTAGTTATGTTTTATGAGTTGATCACGGACTGATATCAGTTAGAGAACCATTGAAAACAGCAGCTGTCCAGTACTTCCTGGTTTTCAATGGTTCTCTAACTGATATCAGTCCGTGATCAACTCGTAAAATATATGTCCAAACCAAGTTCAATTTTAACGGTTTGAAAAAATTTGGGCATTGGGTGGCATATGATATTCATTATAATAAAGGTTTTTGTATTTCCCAATGAATGAAAAACAAAACGATCTTGTTTTTTAATGACGTTTCCCTATTTAATGCTAATAGCTTTATTATAATGAATATTATATACCCAATGCCCAAATTTTTTCAAACCGTTAAAAGTGAACTTGGTTTGGACATATATAGCCGGATACTAAATTGACAACGGCGTGTGTGTGTGCCTGAGCGCGGCAGTATGATAAATGCATCAGTGGCACAGCGGTTAGGACGCTCCCCGACCATTCACATGTTCCGGGTTCGATCCTCGGCCGACGCACCCCCCTGATATCAATAGTCTGCCTACCACATTTAGGCTACCGATATCACATGCTGAAAATTCCATAGTTACACCAAAACTACTGTGTGGAATCAAGCCATAATAAAAGCCATAGAAGAACAGGTTGTTTCTTTCAATTTTTTTTATTCCTTCACGTTCCCAGTGGAACATAGGGCTTCAAGATAGAGGCTTGAAGTTTCTATAGCAGTGGTGATTACTTTTACAGGGTGGGGTGGCTAGCCTCATGGCCAGCCCAACCTTTCCTCTTTACCAGTTTTATTGCTGGCTTAACAAGGGTAAAGGAGTGCGTCGTCGGCCGGGGATCGAACCCCGGACCATGTGCAAGGTCGGTGAGCATCCTAACCGCTGTGCCACGAACGCACAGAAGAAGAACAGGTAGAAGGTCATAATATTAACGAATAAGTCAGATAAGGAACTCTATTTGTGATACATACTTCATTGGTCAAAGCAAAAATTATCACCACCGCCATCATTTGTTTAGTAGATCGATAGATAATAATGATACATACACACACACTGACTGTTTTGTAAACTAGAAAAAAGTGACAGACACACAAATACACTCGCTTTTAAACTAAATGATTGGTGTAAACACTAGTCCCTCCCCCGCCACCTTCCCAACCCACATACACGCGCACATACCACTTACACATGTAAAGGCACACGCACGCCCACGCACACACACAAGCAGACAGATAGACAGACGACTGAAAGTGAATACACACACGGAAATAGACAAGTGAAGTTAAACACACAATTAGGTCATATTTCTGGTCTATTTTGCGATGCAATAAACAATAGTTGAATGCGTGGAAAAATAACAAAAAAGCTAAAGTAAATAAACATAAAATGAGAAAATCGATAGGTAGGTATAATGTAAATTAATATCAAAAGAATAAATAAAAAATTTTATATTTCTAAGCGCTCATAGAGAAAAAAAGTTAAATTTAAAAGGTCATGTGAATGTTTCATCTACCAAGTGTTGGTCAGCAGGGATTTGATCGTCAGTTGACATCCATTTGGAGAACCATTGGGGAACCAAGACGTACTGTTAGACAGCTGTTTCGTCCTAGTTTGGGACTCTTCATCAGTACGCACCAACGCCAGGGTTTCGAACCTAGGACTTTCTGGTTACAAGGAGAGTTTGTAGACGATTCAACGACTGGGATCCGATTGATTCATTGCCCCACGGATTACAACTTCCCCGCCCCCTCCCAATTCCTGATTATGTGTTTAGCGCTACCACTAGCCAATGTCAAAGTCAGAAGTCGTAACCACCAAGGACAAACAAGTCAGGTAAGAGAACAACTACGCGCCCGTGATATTCGCTGGCGGTTGCACTACACACATCGCGGATGTTTCATTTGACGTAACGTCAAGCTGTACTTTACATTATCAAGCTGTACAATCGTATATATATATATTCGTTTTTTTTATAAGATATAATATCCCGTGAGAGAATTCGATCAAAGGTGTGAATACATGAAACAATAATAATAATAATAATAACAGTATGAAATAATACAGTAATAATAATAACAGTATGAAATGCAATTAAAATATTTGTGATTATAATCATAGTTAAATGTCAAGTGGCAGGTGACCAAAAAATTAGCGTCATATATTGAATAATTCATAAGACAGATGTATAGATGTTGGAAAAGGGTGTATAATTATAGGATTAGTAGACTAATATAAAGCGTTACATAACATGGCATGAAATTTGATTAGATAGAATCCTATATAGTAAAAAAAATTTTGGATTTAGAATGAC